ATTTGACATTTACAGTACAGCAACACGATCACATCATTTCATCAACGATATAATAAATCCACAGTGACAAAGGTCTGTATGGATGAATACAAAGACATATTCTGCTGTTATTTACCTCTCTTGGCTTTATTGTTGCGGCCCTTAGTTTTTCATTATCTTGTTTATCTTCCACTACAGTAAGGATAACAAGAAAATAAGAAATAAATACGTGAAAATATTCTACATTTTCTTGGATAGCATTTCAAACATGGCAGGTACCTGTTTTCTGGCAGAGCTTGTAAACCAGAAGAGAGGAGAGGAGAGAAGAAACAAAAGCCACAGACAGGCACGGAAAGAAGAGGAGTTTCCAGTCCACATCGCGGTGGTCCACATCACAGTGCTGCTGCGTCTTATTTACGTCGACATGAAGCCGACTGGGCTCTGCCAAAATACAAAGTTTTGTTGATTAACCCATTTCAATACTTTATCTCTGGAAACCTGAACATTCTGAGGGAGTTTTACAATCTCTGAATCGTCGAACAATGCACACCCCTCACATCTTTTAAGCATTGAGTCCTCCCAAAAGATTCTTCTCAATCCCCTTATGCACCTTGACAAGCACCAACCAAACAATGGTTAAGAATGAGTTCAATTGTATCAGGATCAAACATGAAGCCAGGACTTTGACAATGAATTTGATTTTGTTTTTCGCTTTTTTTGCTCAGAGTTGCTTCAAGTAAATTCATATATTTGAAAAGAAGCCATCATATTTGTCCATATATTCTAGAAAAACTTAAACAGTTCCGATATTGATTTATAGATTCACATTTCCATTCCAAACTATTCTGTGTAAGAATTTTATCGCTTTAAGAGGGATTTTAGTTACATCTACATTGGAGAATTGGTGACCTGATCTCACCCAAGAGAAAGTGTATTTTACTATACCTCTGTACACACTGTTCCGTCCAAGTCTGATTTTTTTGCTTTTTGAAATTCAAATGAAAACTCTGTGCTAATAGTTACATTACTGTGTATTTATAAATATTGAATGCATATCATTTACACATTGAATTAGTGTACAGTGTTCACACAACAGTTAAAGTCTAGCAGATGTATTCATTCATTTTTTTCCATTAAGGGTTTTAGACATATTGATTCACCTGCTTAATCCTTAATATGGCCTCACAACTCTGTAACAATGCTCTAGAGGATTATTACGACAGACATTGTAATGTATGATTTAAATTACATGTGAAAATATGATTACACTCCCTGGAAGTTAATTTAGACAAACGTACTTACTGATGGTGAGTCTCGTTGTCTTGTTGCTGAATGTGTAAGTATTTTTCCCAGTAATCTTTTCTTTCTGCTCCACTTTAATTTGATGATTTCCACAGTAGTAAATGCCTTCATCAGAATGAGACACATTGGTGATCAGCAGGTCATAAGAGTTGGAGGAAAAGTTCTTTACAAAGTCAAATCGAGAGGGAAATAAATAATCAAAATTTATTTCATCATATCCAAGAACAAAGGTTGGCTGGTTCTCATGGGAACAGTTCCTGAACCACACTGTGAGTACACCTGTTGACAATTTGCAATCACAGTGAAGGGTTACATTGTCTCCAGGGTTTGCTGTCACCTCCTTTTCTGACACAAAAGTTTGACCATAGCTACTGGAAGAAAATCCTGAAATGAAAAATAAACAAAGAGTGATGTGTTTCGAAAAAAGAACAAAAACACCAGCCAGTGCGACAATAGTGGTAAAATTACAGTTTGATCTCCAAAAAAAAGTCAAATTACCCAGAAGAATCACCACAGTGATGTGAAGTCCATCCATGATGACATGGAGCTGCCTGAATTACAGGTTCACAGGTTTCACAACCAGACGTTGTGATACAGTCTTTTCTATTCAAGGAGAGGTTGCTTTTGATTGGCTGGTTAAACAGAATTTTCCCCCGTGGGTGTTTTTCTTTTTCTTTTTTTGTATCACTTTGATAGATAGAAAGATTAAGTAAGGCTGAGGTTTGAAGATCAAGGAAGAAACATTACATACCACTTAGTAACCTCTTCTAAATGGGAAGCTTCGCAAATGGTTCTAGTGCTTTTTTTGCATTCAACACACAATTATGCTGATGCATTGAAGCCATATGTAGATTTGTACACCTAAGAAAAGCAAATGTATCTAAAGTAAACATGCTTAGAACATGCTTACATGAGTACAGCTGAGACGGTGAGTACAGCATCTTAAAAGAAAGCTATATCTTGGTGAAAAAAGATTAAATAATGTTAACTTCTTTCTTATTTCAGGAGAGATAATACTTATTTCTGTGTTAGAATATCTGACCTGATTGGCTAAAGATTAATTAAATGACAGTGGATTAAATAAAAACTATATCACTTGAATTTTATTGATATGTATGATCAAAAGTTCCTCTCTAAAGTGTTCCATACAAGGTGACTGCAGCACAGCCATAAATACAGCAGATTTTAGAAATCTGGAATGTTACCAAGTAGTTCACTCTTTAGAAATGAATAATCCTCACATATATCAACAAAATTCAACACTTTAATATCACAGAGAGTGAAATATGTTATAGCTGGTGGGGAAAATCTTCCGTTCTCTTTTATTCCATGTGAGTTTACCATGATGAAACTTATCATAATAAAACTTCAAGAAAAGAAAACAAAGCAAGAAACAATAAAGAAGGAAGCCAAATTTCAGCAAGTGTGTGTATCTTCTGTTGCTTAAACTTAATCATTTAGTTTTTTTAAACTTTATTTTTCTTTGTTAACAATTACAAGGTGTGAAAAAGAAAAAAAGGAGAGGAAAAAAACAAACGAACAAACACACACACACACACACACACACACACACACACACACAC